CTCCCCCCTATTCAAATTAAATCAGTCATAAAAGCATTTTATAATGAAAAAGTCTGTTCATTTTAGAACAAATAGCAAAATCCCTTGTAGTGCATTTTTCCCTCTTCTCTTTGTTCACTCTGTAAACATGCCAGTACCTTTGCATCAGTTGCTTGGCTTCTCACATAGTCTGTGTGTGCTTCACAAACTGAAATGGGACAGAGATGGTGTGTGTTAAGAAAAAGTAAGAAAACACGACTGTGAAATCTTGGAGGAAAATTTACAGTTCACATGTAGTTTCTGAAAATAACATTTTTTTTCTCCTTTTATGCTGCCATGTGATACATTGGTACTGCTGTCCCCTGAAGGCTCCAGGCCATTAGCCATAAGTGATCAGATTAGCTCAGCTAAATGAGTGTCTAGGGGGCAGCAAGGCCAAAGTAACCCTCAGGTGGATTTACCCAACACCATGTACAGAGTAAGTTCTAGAAAGAACGCATCAGACCCCTAAAGGTATTTAACACCTGCAGTCGAGCTGCCTTTTTGCAGCCATGGATTCATGAAGATGTAAAAAGTCCTGGTCTGGAAGTCATTTGGCTCCTTCCATCACAGTGATGAAAAATCTCTGGCTTAGGAAAAAACTATATCCTCTCAGTCTCCCAGACTGGGATCTTACGGTCTTTAAATTTTGCTGTCAGATTTGCCATTAAAGCTCTTGAATGCAAATACTGTTTCCCTTACCTTCACACAAAAATAAACACTTCAGATGTTTTCTATATGTGTATGGGTGCCTCATTGCTCAGACAGTGCTGTGTCAGACCATCCTCCATTTCATGATACTTTAATTAATTGTTTCCTGGTTCTCAACATTGTATTGGCAGCCACGCATTCAATCTTAGTCTTATATTTTGCACAAACCTTGCTGTAAATAGTCTTTCACTGTCTACACAAGAAATGTAAATGTTGTCCTAATTTCCAGCATCATTTAAATGCCCACATAACAGTTATCCTTGTGAAAGCAAATTGAGCCTGTCACGTCATCTTCTATGGAAGTCTAATTCTTGGTAACAAAAGATATTGCAGCTGACAGATGGAGCCGCACACTACATAATTAAGTCTCCAGTGTGTGTCAACTGTAGCCTTTCAGACACAATTAGAGTCTGACCAGTTCAGCAATTTAGGTACTTAAAAAAAAAAAATCCCTGAGGTGAATGCAGAGGTTTCAGTGAAAAATGAACTCCAAAATGCGCTAAGCAGAACCAAATAGGATCGTGTTCATCACCAGACTTTCCAGTGATAAGATTTGATACAACTCTTTAAATCCTCTCTTTACCTCCTTTTCCTTCGCATTTATTATGTCCTGAGTGTAGCTAAGCATAAACTCGTCTCAGCAGGGAGGCTCATGGAGTCAGTGGATGGAAAATACATTTTCTTTAGAAAACTAGCTTTGGGAACCCCCAGCTGTGCAGGAGATACAATTGTGTTAGGTTTGTAATGGTAAATTGTAAAACTTAGGAAAAACTACAAAACAACAGAAAACTTTACAGAAAGAAAAAAAAAAAAAAAAAAAAAAAAAAAGCACTTAGTGGTGTGTGATGCATTCAGAAATAAAGACAAGCCTGGTACCTTGTGATCCAGATCTCAGTATCTGCCATGCTCGGGGATTTCTGTGTTTAAGATTTTTCTTCCTGGAGTCAAAAAGATAAAAACAGAAGAGGATTTTAGGTAATCTGTTCCACTGCTCTGCTGAGAAATGGGAACACATCTCATAGAATCTCCTCTGACTCCTTGTGAGCTCTTCTGGTCTGTAGGAATACCTGAGCAATACCAGGTCTAGTTTTTTTTCCTCTTACACCTGTGTTTTTAGTCTTCAAAGTTGATTCCAGTATTTCTAACGTATGCTCTTCGATTCACGTTTTCTTCCTTCCTTGGGATACACATAACAGCTGCCTGAAAGTCATTATGAGGATGTACCAACAGCAAAAGCAGCTCTTAAGAGTACAACTGTTTGTTCCTGCTCCTCCTTGCTCTTTAGGTTTGCTTTCTTTTGCTGAAGAGAAATTCCATGCTACATTTATCACCCTGGCTACTAGGATAATTCGTAAGTTTTAAAGGCCACTCAACACAAAACTACTTTCCCTTAATGCCTGCCTACAAGAAGCACACAGTGGCACCGCCATCCATGCTGAGCATTTCTTTGGCCGTTTGTATTCCCAGCTGGCCCTGGCAAGGCAGTGGGAAGCAGGGGACCCCAGGATGGCTGTGCACAGGGCAGCGCTCCCTGCACCCAGAGCTGCATCTCCCAAAGGGGAGACAAAGGGGCGAGCGACACATAGGTGTGAAATTTGAATTTTCAGCAGAATGCACTGCTGTTCCCCAAGGCAGAATAATGAGTGAGGGCATGCTTGTGGGAGGGACATAAACCTCTGTCCCCAGCTCAATCCCTCCTTCATGCTGATGCTAAAAATGGCTTTGTTCTGTCAGCTGGTTTGTGTTCCTAATGATACCGCAGCTGTTTAATCCCACAGCAGCTCATGGCTGGGAGGTTTGTCTGCTGGTGGTTCATATGAAGTCACCACCCTTTTTCGTGCTGTCTTCCCAGTGAGATGCACACCGGGCCACTGTGAGCATTTTTATCCACACCACTGGTGGCCACCCTATGGCAGCGTGCAGGCCTCTCAGGAAGCCATTCACACAACAGCTTTCCTGGTTGTGAGGAAGGCAAAACTAAATCCATCAACTGCCTCGTGCCTGGTCCTAGGGGGAGCCTATGGAATGACTACTTTGGGCTGGGGAGTTACTGCCAGCTGTTTAAATTAGGATAGGAGGGGGATTTTTCCACTTTTCTTGAGACAAATCTCCAGAAGGCATGTAAACTTCTGCAGCAGATCTGCATTGAGAAGGAAAGAAGTCAGGTTCCAGAACTTGGGGTTGCTTTATGGCTTATATTGGATAGATTTGATTTTGAGAAATAACTTTGCCCTGAAAAGGAAAGAATGAATCTGTCTAATTCTGGGAACTGCACTTGATGGTGAACATGCCCTCTGACCTGTGTCTTTCATGCTGCCCACTCCAGTCTGGCACAGATTTACAAAACTGGTTTGAAGACTCAGCTTTCTCATCCCATTTCCAAGCATAACCAAGTTACAACACTTTCCTCAGGCAAAATGCATTATGGAGAATGCGATTACAGAATAAACCACATGTCAGGTCAGGCAGGAGGAATTTTTCCTTGCAGTCTTCTAAAGAATAGGAAAAGTTGGCAAAAGAATCTTGATTTCTCCTCCTTTTTGAGCAATGGAAGCCAGGAGGGGCAGATTCAGGTCTCACGCCCTGGTGCAAGGCAGGAGAAACCCCCCAGATGGGACCTCACCAGCTAAAAGCAGTAATAGTCATGATACATCAGGTGCCAGACCTGCAGAGAGCAAATGCTTTTATCTCATGCACCAAATTTACAGTAATTAACAACTGTAAATGCAGTCACAATACGTTATGGGCTCTCCTTCCTACGGCTGTGGAGAATGGAAGTTAATGGAAATACACTTGATGATACTTGCTGGCTGAAGGGCTTACATTAGCTGGTCTAGTACCTCCAAATGCGCACTTAGGTAATAATGCCACAGATGAATCAGGGGAGGAATGAGATTTTTTTTTTGAGAAATAATAAACATGTTTCTCTCTCACTAGGCTCAGATGGGATATTACCGCTGTTCATATAGCCAAGTGTTTTGTCGGGGAGATGAAGTACTGCGTATAAACTTGTTCATTACCAGCAACCTGACAAACGCTGAGCTAATATCATGTCAACAATCAGCTGGGGATAATGCATTTCCTCTCCTTCTAATAGATTTTCTTCTTACGTATAATCATAAGCAATACTAAAAATTACAATAGAAAAAAAAAAAAAGGCAGTGGAAGAGTGTTCTCTGATATGCAGTTCTTTTGATTTGAAATATCAGGGACAGCGAGGATGGATATAATTTGTTTGGGGATTATCTGCACACAGAAAGAAACTCGATAATCACTCGAGTGAGTAGCTGCGGCTTTTGTTTGCTGCACTTTTTCCTGGTGCTCTTGACTCCGCTCAGTGAAATTATTCTTTCCAAGGGTGGGGAAAGGAAGGAGAGCTAAAGTGTCTCTGCTCCCCTGTGGCAGAAGTGTTAGTAGCCACTTAGCAGGGCCTGCAGGCTCAAGGAAGTGTGTTAGCCAGATCTACAACATTCATTGACCAGTTAGTGGTTTCTTTCCTAGGGGAGCACAAACATCGTGACACGACCCGGAAGGTTTAATCTCCAGACTAACTAGTCCTTAGAAAAGGCTTAGTGCATCTGCAGCACAACGTAGCACTCAATGGCACATATGTAATTATGTTTTATAAAGATTTTATAAGAATGGTCTGAATAATATTAATGACGTGTGAACATAGGTGGCAAGACTAGATTTATGTTTCAGGCAATTACATTTTACAAGCTGAAGTAGAGAACAGAGGTAATTAACAAGAATAATGAAAGCACTACCTTGCCATAAATCACTGTTAAAAAGAGTAAATAATAGAAGACAAAGGGATTGTGAGTCAAGTTCAGCCATTATTCATCAATTTTAGAGCAGGAGGGTGGGTTTAATTAGTGAAATGGCATAGCACTTGTTTGGTGCTTTTCAAATAATCCTGATGCTCTCCTATCAGGGGGAACAAACATCTGATTGAATGCAAATGACAGTGATTGCCTTCTCCACATTTCTAATCAGTGCAGGAAATTTCATTTCACCCTTCTTTTAATGAAGCAAATGGAGCTATTAGTCGGCATGCTGGACGGGGGAATTTTGCAGACCTGATTGCAGATGAGGGTACCAGTCTCCCTAATCTGTGAAGCAAAAAGCGCCCGCTTCTCCAGCAGTTTCAGTTTTCTATGAATTGTTTAGTTCCAGTTTTTAATCTGTAGTGCTTTGTGGATCAGAAAGCAAATCAGCCTCCACTGGGAAGGCCCTTATCTATTAATTACTTTTTCCTTTCCTTATCCTAGGAGAAGATATTTCTCACACTGAGCTCCAGGAAGTTGATGCTGAAATGCAAGAACAGCAGATGTTACTGGGGTGCAGTCATAAAATGGAGGCAAACGGGCTCTTTGTGACCAGCTCAGGCCACAGCACCAGCACATTCCAGGTGATTTCTTTACGTGTCTTGAGTAAGCAGCTTATTTTCAGCTGAGTTTACTTTTACTCCCCATTCTGTTAAATCTTGTGAGAGGAGTAGCTTTATCTCTGCCCCAGGACTGACTTTTGCAGAAGAAGAACATTTGGCCTTCACAAAGCATGAGATCACAGCAGATGGCACGTGCTTAAGATACACCTCTGGTCTGCTCTGCCAGGGCTTGAATTCACCATGGCCCTTTTTTCTCTGTGTAAATTACCTAGTTCAGTCCTGACAGCAGTGAGTTGCCCAGCATCCTCCAAGGCTGTCAAAACCTAAGACTGTCTCTCAGAGTGATAACCTGTTAGTTCGTCTTCTTTCTGTAAGCAGGGGATTCATCCTCAGCGAGGGAGATTTAACATTCTTCCTCTGCCTGTATCTTGCAACTTGAACTTACACACAATGTGCTTTGGGCAGGTCAGAATTAACTCACTATTAGAAGCCTCTTTTATACAAAAACCTTGCAGTTCTTCCTCTGCTGTGGGCTGTTGGCCATGAGTACCTGGACACCATGCTGGTATAACTGCAAACTGGTATAACATTGCCAAAAGGCAATGACATGCTGCCATTCTGATAAGGAAAAATTATGCCAAGTTATTTCTTCATTCACAGAACAGAAATACAATTTTTGCAAGCTGTTTGCCAGATTCTGATATAAATCAATTTAACCTCTTTACTTATCCCCAGTCAAGGGCCATTTTGTTTGCACTTGGTATTTGTCTAGTCTACTCTAGTCTAATCTGAGGGGGGGGGTTCTGTGCACTGCTGAAGAATTGCTACAAGGCATCATGAGAGAACACTGTGTTATTGCTGGGTAAAAAATCTGAAACATATGTAGTCTGTTTTGTAGAGCATTAGGGCATCCTTTGACTGAAAAGTACCATAATGAGGAATGGACTATTAACTGTTATTCATGATTACATATGCAAAGCTTGTGAGCCAAGTTTAATTAAATTCAATAAAGACATATGCAATAAAAATGAACAATTAACAGCAGTGAAGAGTTCTGATCTGAATCTGTGAATACTTTCTTCATCCCTATTTGTACAGTGAGAAATAAAAAGAGTGTGTAATCTCAACTCTGACATGTATAGAAAGAGAAAGCTCCATATTGCGCTGTTGCAAGTGGGTAAATTCTGTTTACTGGTGTTTGTCCTTGATTATACACTGCTTTCTCCCCTGTCTATAGACCTCAGCATAAATGTCTAGCGTACCGATTCACCTTCAGATACTGACAAAATGCTGTGTGTCACATGGAGAACACACCTACTAAATATAAAAGGTTGCAGTGCAAGTATAATGAACGCTTACAGGACATTTGATAATCTGTACAACCAGTCACTAGCAGCTACCCAGGGTTCCAGCACGCCCCACACTGCAGGTCATAGGGTGAGTGCTAAATAATGCTGGAGGGATGCAGTGCTGGGATCAGAGTAACACTGTAGATCCATTGTGAAAAGACTTGGTGTCAACAAGAACAGCCATGGCGTAGCCCTTCATTTTGGAGTTATCAAGAAATCAGACTTTCCAAACCTTTTTGAATCTAACTTCACCAGAAGCTTAGCATTAAAAAAAAAAAAAAAAAAAAAAAAAAAATTAACTTGTGGCAAATATGTTTCTTTAAAAACCCTAGAGTAGAGGAAGAGAGAAAAAATGGCAGTTTTATGTAAAACATAAAATCTGTTTTCCGCTCAGCTTTACAGACAACACTGCCCATTTATATATAGCTTAGGGTGGTGGTTTCATATGAGAAATACTCTTGCAATCGTGATGTTGCATTCTTGTCTTTAACAATCTGCAGGTCTGGATGCAGGTGCATTGAATACTTTGAATTTCTGACTTAATAGATAAATGCATAATAAGAGTTTTCCTCGAAATTCATGGATTTTTCAGTTTGTTGGGGGTTTATTTTTGTTCCTTGCATTTACCTCTGTGTTTTTGTCTGTATCTAGGCTTGGTGAGTCAAGCAGAGCTACCTTTTAAAGATGCCATTGAAAATCAGGGGAGGGGAAAGAATCTTCAAAGGCTAGTTGTGGGCGTGTGGAGGGAGGGGAGATTTCTAACAGGATTTAATGGAGCTGGGTTATTTAAGACTTGCACAAAGATCCTTTGTATTGACAATTCACTGTATGAGACATAAACTCTTCACTCTGTGCATATAAAAGATGAAAGGACCAATTACTTATTGAAGCATTAAACACCCAGGGGACAAAGACTCCTGTCTGGCAATAGTAAACATATTGACTGAAACCTATTTGAATTTCAAATTGCCAAATGTCCCAATTTTTGAAAAGCTTCCTGTGATAACCAAGGTCTGGAAAGTCAATTGAAACTTAATTCTCCTGGATATCTCATGGGGAAAAAGTACATGAATCCGGACAGATTCAATTATTTAATTTTAATGAAAAAATAGATAGCTGCTTTATAATTTCCTTACAGAGCAGTAGATGGGAATTTGGCTCCTTTTTCTAAGATGTTTTCCTAGGATAAATAACAATTGAGGTCTGCCAAACACAGATTGCCAAGAGGTTTAAGTCCAAGGATCTTCTGCTTCCTCTTGTCCCTAGACCTTCCTTTTCACTCCGTCTGGGACTAGATCTTTTTGATATGCCAGGCTAATATTTTTGCTCTGTCCACAGGTGGTGCAGATGCTATTTATAAAGCATTGTGCAGGGGATCTGTTATGGGGTGCTTTACAGCCACACTTTGCAGAAGGACACGTCTGCTGTCTCATCCATTGAGAAAGACTCTCCCAGAGCAAAACAGCCACGGGTCAGTGCTGCTGCTCTCAGGGGCATGCGGTAAGATGTCCTGTGACTGCAGCAAGGAACAAGTAAGTTGTAAAGAGCAATTCTGAGAAAAAGCCTCTCTGATCTGCCCAATGTCCTGCTTCTCTCTTTGGGATGGAATGACAAGTTTCTGTTTGGATTTTCCCTAGTTCCTTATGTTCTCTCTTCAAGATTTAGAAACAGGGCTGTAAGGAAAATTCTGTTAATTTCACATTTTCTTAAAAAAAAGCAGCTCAGACTAGTGACTTAGTCTGTACAACGCCTCTGAAGTAGGCACAACCATATGGCTCTGAACATCTCCTTGGGGTGCTTGAAATGCTCCCACTTTCAGCAGAGAAGGAGTCACCATCCCTGGAAGTCTTTAAAAGACGTTTAGATGTAGAGCTTAGGGATATGGTTTAGTGGGGACTGTTAGCGTTAGGTCAGAGGTTGGACTCGATGATCTTGAGGTCTCTTCCAACCTAGAAATTCTGTGATTCTGTGATTCATTATTATGCTCTGGAAGAGATGCGAGCCCTATGTAACTTGCCTCTCACCAACTTGCAATACTCTCACTATGTTTGTTACTAGAAGAGTTTATTGTGATTAATGCCACTGATAATGGAACATACCAACAGAATCAGTGATTTCCTCCACATTGTTCAGCATTGCCTGTAACTTTGACTCCATGGGAAATGGTGAATGCAATTAGTACAGTATAATCATGGGTATTTAGTGTTCAATTCATTTGCCTTTTGTTTTTACTGTAATGTCACATACAGAACAAAGATACACAGCAACAGCAAGGCTGTTACCAAAACCTCAGAGGAGTTTATCCTCCCCTCTGCATGCTCTGCACACATGGAGTGAGCATCCGTAATCATAACAGTTGGCTGCACGTGTATTTTGGGGCAGAAGAGACGCCTATTACTGTACAGCTGTCCTTGACCTTGGCATAATAAAACTTATCAGATACAGTCAACAGGAATGCCACGCAGTGCTTCTGCATGAGTAAAACCAGTATTTGCTGTTGCTTTTGTTTTAATAGGTCCTTGTTAAATAAGAGAGGACAAGCTGCCGCATATCAGATAGGTTCAGCTGAATGTGAAAGAGATTTCATATCTCTGCCTTTGTCTCTGGTGGTTTCTGTTGGGATTCCCATCATGCAGTCATTTTTCTGTATTCTGTCTTCTCTCTGTCTTGGTGTACAGTCAGAAATGAAGGCACACATTCATCACCACAGCAGCTTTAAATATCAAATGCTTGATGAATTTACTCTCAGCTGGCCGGAAGCAATACTGTGATTGCAGCGTTTTATAATCATCAAGACTTGTTTCTCTTGTTTCTCTAAGCTGAATTAATTTGCATGAGCAATGAGTTATTAGCAAAGTTGCCGGTAACTGCCATGTACAAGCAAATAGTAGGAGAAATCGTGCAAGCTGTGCTTTTCTTGGGGAAACACAACTTTGTGAAAAGTTTTAAATGAGTAGATGAAGAATTGTATCTGGGGGTAAAGGTTTAAAGCAGGTGCAAGGAATCCAGTCCTGTGTGGTTACAGCTGGGGTCCTGAGGAGTCAGGCTCTATCTCTGGCCATACAGCACATTCCCATGTTTCTACCAGCACTTATCCCCAGCTGTGGTCTTACCTTACAGTAAATCCAGCACTAGGGTTTGAAATGCCTGTCAAAAATGCAAAGAGAATTGTTACCCTTCTATAAACTCAACCCATCACTCAAGCATGCTCAAGAATGTTTGACGAACGAATAGAGTGCCAGAAGATGTGGTATTGTCTGTCCTCCTTCGTGCAGCCAGTGTGAAGCTGATCTGAGTTCTATTTCCTGCACGCTGGCTCTATCAGCAAGAGTAAATGCCACGCTTACCTGTCTTTAATCCTAGTATTTACAGCTAGGTGTGCTGGGAGATCTGGATGGATGATTGAGCCAGCAGTAGTTCTCATGACCATGATATTTTTAAGATCGTTGAAGGTTTCTCTATCACGGCTGAGGACAGACATTTGTGAAAAGCTTCAGCTTTTTCTTTCTGTGAAGCTGCTGAACTGCTTCTGACAATTACTTTAAGTGGAGGGCAGTGTTTACACTTCCCAGTTTCAATGAGCTTTCCCCAGCTCATTGTGGTATTCATTGCTGTATTAATTGCACATGTACAGAAGCTTGTGGTATTGTGCAAAATCCTAATAACATCTTAATGATTGTGTACTTCCCTCTCCTTCTCCAGTCTGTGCCTTATTGATGTTTTCATTAAACAGTCCAAACAGCGAGGCTGGGTGCACACAGCAAAATGTCTCCACCTCATCGGAGAAAAAGACAAATCCTTAAAGAAATTGGCAGTTGGAGGATGCCAGACACCTCGCTCTGAGGACAAATAAAAGCACTCTGAATAATCGTGTAAGAAGTAATAGGAGGGATGGCAGAGGGAGAGGCTGCACCTTCCTCCACACAGCTCATGGAAAGGCAGCTAGCAGTAGGACATTAAAAGGTAATTTTTGCATTTTTGAGAAATTTGTCAGAAAGGGGTCCTGATCTTTGAAGGATGCTAAGAGAATTCATATGGCAATGGAGTACACTGCGTTTGGGGAAGAATGCATGTGGAGAACCTATTTTTTGGATGCTTGTCTGTAATTGTAAAGGACTGAAACAGACATGGAAAATAATTTACCAATACCAAAGTAAAGCCTTTAGGAGAGTCCTCTCCTTGCCTTGGGAGGGAGAGAGACACTGGGCAACAAGGGTCACTGCTAGAGGTTCCAGAAAATTCTTTCTTGATTAAGTGTGCTGGGACAAAGGTAACATGGCAAGCCTCTGGGCAGACCTAGGTAAACACCTCTGGGTGCATCCCTGAAATATGACGGGATGACCTGTTAACTTAAAAGCCCACACAGCATTTTTAAAACAATTTACCCGCCCTGCTTTGCCATATCGACTACTGTAAGGATCTTTAATAATTCTGAAGAAGGGAAAAAGCTCTGGGAGAAGGAGAGGCTCTGGTATGAGCAGCTCTTGTGGCAGGATAGCCAGACGTTTAGCACGTGAATCTGAGACTGCTGAGACTTCCTACGGCCAGGAACAGCAGTCCCCGAGTTGTTTTTGTTCTAATGCCTGACACTTGGCTTTCTGGAAAGTACCATTGCTGTTTCTTGAGGTGGAGGGGAAATGACAAGAGGCTGCTCAGACCCTGAGGTACCTGTAGCTGATCTGCAAGGACTTCCAGCCTGTGAACAGCTGCAAGGGGCAGAATTTGGTGCTTCCCCACAAAGAGAGCTGGTAGCTCAAGGCCAGAGCCAGGCAGGCAAGGTAGATAGTGGAAAATGGAGACTTAGACATAGCTGGAGTCAGAAACAGTCGGTCTTGTGTCCATAGCAATGGGGAGGTCTTGTGCTAGTCATAGATTCCCTGGCAATAAAGCAAAACCACTTTATTTCATTGGAGGATCTGGACCAGGAGTTGAATATCACTGAGAAGTGATATCACAGTGAGAAGCAGAGAACTGGCTGCAGCTTCTGAAAGTCCCATGATGTTAAAACTTAAAAATAAAGCTATTTTAGGTCAATTTTAGTGGTTCTAAAATACATTAATTATATTTTATTCTTTTGCTAGGTCTGTGCATTTTGACTTACGTTGCCAAGGGAACTTGGCAGTATTGGTGGGAAGGTATGAAAAATAGTGCTAATGAACCGCAATTTACTTCTCAAGTACTCAGAGTAGAGGGACGGTGTGATGGACGTGCAAGTTTTATTGGAATTCTCTTGGAAAGACCTGAATAACTTGCAGTGCCTCCGTACAAAACTTGTGTTATTCTGACAGCTTTATCACGTACCTTCTCTTTCCAGGTATATGTATTTTTATACATATATATACACACACATACATACATATATATATATATACATTTCTGTACACATTATTTTTTTCTTGGTTAATTCTCCCTTACATAAAATGGCATCATTCCTTTGCCTCCCAAACTGTGGACTACACCATCCCAATTTTTATTCCTTCCTGGAACTCTGGGGATGGGATGTGCAGAAGGTGCAATAACTCTTTCTTCTTCTTGCTTTTCTTCTCATCTTATGAATTCTGTCAGATATTAGTTCAGATGTGTCTCCTTTATTGAATTCATAAATTACATTCCACCTTTATTTGTCTGTTCATCAGATCACCATCTATTTTGTTATTCCTTTGAGAAGAATCCAGCATGAATCTGAATTTATGAACTATCAGCATCTCCCATGCTCACTGAATATTCTAGGTGCTCACACATTTAACTATTTTCTGCATTTTAATCTTGAGCTAGTGATCAGAATTTGATTTTTTTTTTTCCAGCAGAATATTCAGAGATGTTTCTTTTGCAGCTAGGCTGATGTCCCCCCGCTAGCTGCACAGGACTCCAGCAAGCCTGATGGATGAGTATGAGTAATAACTTGTCATTTTGTAGAGCTTTTCATCGGAGTCATTTGAAAGCCCCTCACAATGGAATTATCATTATCTCCGTATGCCAGAGGAGAAATCAAGGCACAAAGCTGCTCAGGAGATCAAAAAAGCATCCAGGTCTCACAGAACCTTGCTTCAGTGCTTCGTCAGCTGTCTTCACTGGTGCCCTGAACCTGTGTCTTTGCTGTTATTCTTCCTTGCCCTCTTCAGTTGAAGGAGGTACTGGGGAGAGGGCAGTGATGCTGTATCTTCTTCGGTGTCACAAAATGCACAGCAGACATGGCATTAGAAAATAATGGGATTTATTTTTTTAATTCCTAATATGACTTTATGTGAGAAAAAAACTCTGTAAAAATAATTAATTTTCAATTTATACTCAGAATAATAACTGACATGGTAGTAAATTGCGTTCATTCATATCTAATTTGGTGTGGCTAATTTCCTCAACGCCAGTGAGCTGCCTGGGTCCTTCTTATCACCTTTATGTATTAGCTGAATCTTGTTGCACATTTGTTCTGTGCTTATGTAACTATGACTTAATTACATGGCAACTGAATTTATACCCTGGTACGGAAGGATTGCTCCTCAGACAGTTTCTCAGATAAACAAAAGATAATTACCATGTTCCTGCTTTAATTAATGTAAATTATAGCACTGTTTGAATGGTCTTGTGTCCATGCTTGGTGAGGTGCAGATCACTGCTCCAGCCATGCTGTGCTCCTACCGTGCCCCTTGGAGTCAGTGCTGTCCAGCAGAGATGGTTTCATCCAGCTGCAAACGTCAGCGATTTTACTCATGAAAATAGTCCCTCGGTAGTGGGGAATGACATGTACGTAACATTTAAATACTTGCTTATTGCAGTATGCATTGCCTGTCCCCGTGCCTCAGAGAAGAATGTGCAACATGCTCCTGCACTGCGTGACCTACTTACAGCAAGTGGGAGCCAATTCCCATCACCTTCTCGCTGTTCTGTCAGTCAATACTTTGTTCTTAACGCTGTTGTTTTCCTCTCCCAGCTGCACAGTTCATGATTGCAGGGAAAAAGGACCTTTCCTCACCTCCTTTCCCCAGTGCTTTTCCCCATTAATATGGTCAAGTGGTGTTGATTTCCAAACCACACCTGAGACATGGAAGAAAAGTGTAGGAAAGAGACAGACTTCCAGCCATGCAGCTTTCTCAGCACTCTCTTCTGTGAGATGAATGATGATTGTCACAAATTTGCAACCTCCTCATGATGCCTAGGAGTGAGCAAGGCAGGAGAGTGCTTTGTTGGAGCATGGTTCGAGGCTCAGCACAGAGCGTTAACTGTCCTTCCTCTCCTGCTGCTGCTGGAGGAATGCCTCCAAGAGCTAACATAATTAATTAAAAATGCCATAGCATAGTAAAAACTCCCATTTATCCCACACTGTCACCTGTGCTGTGAAGAAGGAGGCTGGCACCCACCCACTTCTGCATCCAGGTGTCCTCTGGCACGGAGGTAATGGGACGTGAAGGTGCCTCCACTCTCAGGGAACGTGGCAGCGTTCAGCTCCTGGGGAAGCCATGAGGAGCTCGGGAAAAATGGGATTTTGTTGGCTTTGGGCTGAGCTGTGCTTTGTTTGTTTGATTTCAGTGAAAGCGTTTATGTTTTTCAGTGTGCAAACTGGGATGCTTCTGCCAGGGTTCAGCCCACAGGAGTGTTGTACAGCCTGTGAGCAAGTAGAGACACTGAAAGCGTCCCCGTGTGGTGCAGCTCCTGAAACTGTGGGGTGAATGCATGCTGACTTGGAGATGCTGGGAGGAAACACAAGCAATCCTTCAAGATACTTAAATAATGTTTCATGACTCAAGTGAAATGCTCTTGTTAGGCCCTCTGGAGGAGAATTTGACATTTTCCGTGCCACCTGCAAGATTAAAAGAAAATGCTGTTGGCTTCTGCATTGTCTCCTGAAAGGCAGAGGGGCTGACAGAAATGTAATTAAATTACCTGCAGCATTCATCTGTTGTCATAGCAGCCCTTGCAATGAATATAACAATAATTTCATCTACAGCTTAGCTTAATGCAGCTTCGCCTAGACCAGCCAGCAGGCAATTTTTCTGTCCCATATCTGGCAGAGAAAGAGTTCAAGAGTTCCCATTTCTGCTTCGCCAACTGTGATCTACCACAGGGTAAAATCACCGATTATGTCTTTGCTGCATTCCTCCAGCATCAGATAACACTGGTCATTACCTGTGGGTGTTCTTGTGTGATTCAGAAGATCAGATTAGGTGATTATATTTTCTTTGGGCCTTAAAAATCCCAGAATCTCTGCATCAACTTATATGCAAGTCATAAAAGCACAGTGCCGTGTTTTCCATCTCAGCTAAATCCTAAAAGACCTGGCTGTGCTTTAAGTACATGTATATGCCTTCATTTCGATGGAGCAGTGTTTGGGCTTTAGTGTGAGGAGTACAGTAAGGACACAGCAGTGCTGGCATTGATCAAGGGCACAGCAGAGTGAGTAGAATGTCTCTGCATTTAATTTATTTATTTATTTACATTTGCCAGGTATATTTCAAACTGAGATTTTCTTGATGGACCCAGGTGTAGAGGCTCCAACCAGCTCATGGCTGTCCTTTGGTAGCTGCAGAGTGAGCTCCCTGGCTCAGTTCGGTATCCTGTAGGTAAATGGTGGTACCCATCGCTGTGCTTGGCAGAGACAGGCCAGCAGGCTCTCTGCAGAAAGGCTAAAGGACTGAGGGATCCTGAACACCTGCATAATATCTAATCCCTAAAGGTGGATCATCTGTTAACTCCAAGAAAAGGTAGTACTAATTTCCATACCTTGCCCTTCTTCGGGAATGGGGGACTTTGATTTACCACCTCAGGAAATTTCAACAAAATTTACTTCAATTGCTGAGAATTGATTATTTTTTTTCTCAACTTTATGTACTGCTTTCCTCTAAAAATGACTGCTATTTACCACTTTTCTTAATTAAACAGTCACACAATTCACATATGTAGGAATAACATTTCAAGAGAACAATTAAAAACAACTCAAAAATGGAAGAATATGAAAATGGAAACATACAGCATCTGGAAGAAATCTGTGGATCCACCTGGTATACCTGGGAAACATCCCCTTTTTGCTTCTTTCATTTTCATTCCAGTTAAGCAGTTCTAGGGAGCTGAGGTTCCCCCTACAATGGCTTGTTCTTATCTCACAGATTCAGGAATTCACAAGTTGAAGACTGTTTAAATACCATGTTTAAAAGGCTAACTTGTGCATGGCCAAGATAAGCTGATTTGTAAGCTGAGGCTTCCCTGAGCCTGGTGTTCGGAGGATTCTTCCTTCGGGCATGCTCTGCTCAGAGCACTGAAGCTTTCTCTCTCTGGAGCAACTGTTCATAATGACCTCCCCAGGCTAAGCAGTAAAAAAAAAATGAGTTGTTGCAAATTGCTTATGTGTTGTCATTTTACTTTTCTTCATATAAATAGAGCCAACGATATATCCACATGCACGGTATCTCTCCTATGATGCTCTCGAGTGCTTTCCACAGGTGCATAGTGTTTGTTCCTGTTTTGCAGATGAGCTAAGAGGGATGGCAGTACCAGAAGAGCACAGCTGAGTCTCAAGTAAGGGTAGTGAGAGTCTAAGCATTTAAATGTGTGTTTGTCATGCTGGAGCATTCCAAGCAGTATTTTCTTAGAGTTTGGTAAGTATCAAACACATACCAAAGCCAATTCTTGCATCAGGCTGTATGTATGGACCTGTATATCTGTCCCTTTGACGGACCCGGAGGCAGGTGGAGAACAGCTATATTCACTGAGCAAGAAAGAAACACTCCCTGCCTCTGCAGCCTCTCCACTTCCCAATATATAGACACAAAAAAGCTGAGAGCTTAAATGTCGGTCATCTCCTGTTAGTCATAGAATGTCACAAGGTGTTAAAGACCCTGAGTTAAGTATCATCTACAGTGGTTTCTTTGGCACTGAAGAAGGGCATCAGGAGATGATTTTTCCTCAAGTTAATAATTTCCCTCAGTGCTATGTTCCCATGTGTTTTTCCCTCCTTTCTTCCTGTGTTTAAATACAGCACACTGGGTAGCACAAAGCTACCCAGTATGCTAACCTACACTCTCTGCTACCGAGGGATTTGCTTATAAAGCACACAAGAGGGATAATTATGAGCATTCATCTGTCCGTCATACCTAAAATGAATCACTCTCCATAGACAAAATTTACCTTTCTTGGGTTCAAATAGGAGATGGTCATTGGTCAACTCCAGTTCCCACTGGAGCCAAAGACAGTAAGTCCAGAGTTGTAAATGATGAGGTGCATCCAAGTGAACTCAGACCTGCAAGGTTTACAAGGGCTTGCTCACTAAGAAACTGCCTGATGGCCATCTGGCAGTACTTTCATTACACGGCTGCGAAACAGACTCTATTACAAGACACAAAAAGCTACTGACTCAACAAAAGTTTTGCTCTGAGTTGCATTACAAATACTGCAGTGTCAGAAACAACAACAAAGTTTTGCGTGACTTAGCCACTATAGCCTGGCTAACCTCCAAGTAACTATTTTTCCTCTGAATTGGATGTTACATCAAAAAAGTTCCAGTTTCCCCTTCAGAGGACAGTACAGATTTATGTTGATTCCATTTGGCTTTCGTAGCCCACCCCGAGAGGCAGCAGCAGCAGGTTTGTCCTGCAGCTCGCAGGGGCTGGCCTCCGTTGCTCCAGGCTCCCTGGCTGCTGGGTTTGTGTCCCACGGGGCTGGCATGGCTGCAGCCTCTGATGCCTTTGAGCATCACCTTCTGCTACCACTGGGGCTGTAGGGAAAAGGAGAGAGCCAGCCTCCCACAGCTCTTTCTGTGGAGGAACTCCTCGGCTGTCTGTTTTATAATCTGTTAGAGTGTGTCGGAAGTGGAGAACGGATTTCAGGATTTAACAAGAGAAGCTTCTGATGAAAAATGAGACCCAAAAAAGGATTGAATGCCACCGGTATTTCTCATCTGACACAAAAATGAGGTCGATTGTGAGGGAGTAAATTAAAGAAAGAGGGAAGTTTAAAGATCCAACAGTAAATATACTGAAGGTCATGGGACATAACAAGTTACTAAACTCAACTGGATAATTTAATTCAACACAAAGCATGTGTCTGTGTGCACTGTATAGTAGGTAAGAATTTGACATGACAAGATGGGAAGGCTTTGTTATCCTCTTGTCTTGCTGGGATTTGCTTCAATTATGCCAAAGAATGTTACTTCATTCTTGCCCTAATAACACTGTAGAGGAAATTAAATTACTCATATATAACAAAAGTGAACTGATTTTGACATCTCTTCTAGGCAAAACTCCCGCTGTGCTAACTCCTAAGCCCATTCTCCCTCACTTAAGGTCTCATGCATATGTATGATTATCACTCATAGTAAATATAAGCACTTTGCAAGAACGCAAATTAACTGCAGAATGTAATGGGGGTTGCCAAGGGTATTTTTTATTGTTGACTGCAACGTGAAGTCTGCAATATGGGTACAATAATGAATGGGTCATGAAACACGTGGAAATAATCCCATCAAAGGATGCTGTGACATCAGAAACTGCAACAGCACAAATGATGTCACTAGAACCCTGAGCTGCTCTGATTGTGTTTTTATTGCATAACATAACAATACTGAATATTGTCATGCTAAGAGGAGCTTTGGTTTGGCTTGAAATTTTTCTTTGTATTTTTGTGACTCATCATTTGGTGAAAAGAACAATTAAAGGCAGTAGAGCTAAAAAAGATTATTTTTTTTTAAGACTGACAGACCTTACCTTTGTTTTAACTAGATTAATAATGGTGGGTTGTCTCTAATGTGATTGCTCTTTCTTAATATTTGATCGCATTTTCATTGTATTAGCTGGGTTTAGGGAAGTTTTTTATAGTAAATTTAGCTTCCAGAAATAAACCTCGCAGACTTGAAACTAAGGTTGAATCCTTCAAGACACAGACTATTGCCCAATGATCTTCTCTTCCAGGCTTTCATTAGGAAGGAACTAACGTGTCCCAGACAATGTACTGTTTAAAACAAGAGAGCTTTATTTTTAAAACCTATTACTTTTCCCAGCCTGTTCTCAATGCAGCTCCCAACCTTTGTTCTCTTGATAAAACAGCATTTTATCTGACCTTTTTTTCAGACTGATCTTTATTTGGATCCTTCCCCCAGGCCAGCAGTACCTGCACCTTCTGAGCCTGCATGTGCCAAGCCCTGTGCCAGGCGAGCTTTCTGCTGCAGCCAAGTCCTTCAGGTTGATGAGCAGTACTTTCATTGCCCCCTAAACTGTTGACCTGTACAGCAAGAGCCAGTTTTGTTCCTGAACTATTTTCTATATTTCTGTCTGGACCCTCAACTTATTTCTATGAAGTGGGGATGGTGTTTTTTTGGTTTTTTTTTGGGGGGGGGGGGTTGAGGGGGTGCTGAGCTTTTTATTTTAAACTCAGTGAAAGAAATCACAAAGGCTGGGAGAAGAGTGAGGGGTGGGCAGGCAGAAGAGGCCAGCAATCACCCAGCTGTAGCAAAGGGGAGTGGGACCACCTCTGCCTGCCTTTGCCTAAGGCTCACAGCACTCAGGCTGCGCTGCTCTCGCAGGGAACAAGAGACAAGTCTTCTTTAGGCCATGATGGATCTCCCGGTGCACAGGGACATGCTGCCATTGTCAGGCATATCATTGTTATAAAGGAACAGACCTAAGAAAAGAAGGGAGAATATATATTGCAGGCTTGGGAGGAGCAGGGAGGAGGAAGGGAGTTGAACTTTCATTGCAAATGGCAACGTCCACTCTGTCCATGATTGAGTAGAGGAGAAAAAATGGAGACAGATGGTCCTGGGGTTAGCTTTAACCATGCCTTGCTGCAGTTCAGCATCACAGTCTGTTCTGCGCAGTGCGTCGCATGGGTCAGTTCTCTTGGCGCTGAGAAATTGCATGCGTGGGGAGGCACTGAGCTGGCAGAGAGCAAGCATCGAGGCTCTGCAGAGCCTGCAAATGGGTCAGAGCAGCGTGCTCGGAGCATCACGCAACCAGGGGATAAATGGTTCTGACACAGCTTCCGAATAATAATTCTAAATACCAAGCATTTTAAAAGACATTTACAAAATAAATGAAATATAGAAACTAATAGAGAATGAAAATTGTGCTTATTTTACCCATCATCGTTTTTGTTTCTAAAGCAAAATGAGTCTGGCACACAGACAATGGGGAACATAGTGTTTTAATGACACTTACAGCATCCCAGAGGACCATTCAAAGCAACAAAAAAGACCTGATGATGTCCTTAATGACAGCAGATGGTTTCTTCAAGGTGAATAATTTTATTGTTTATTGCCTGCTCTGTATAATGCAAGGAATGACATTTAAGAAACTGCTCAAAGATGTTGTTTCAATGTACAAAGAAAACATTTAGGAGCCAAATTAGCTATACCAGTGACTGTGTCATCACCAGAGCTTTGGGCACATAACAGACTGGGGCTGCGACAGGCCATGGATGTTCAGAAAACATAAAGTCGGAGTCAGGTTTCTAGAAGTGCATGTTCCTTACATAGTCTTTGCAATCAACATGCTTAAAATCTGGGAACAGGGAAGGAAAAAAAGCAACTTCCTCCTAGCTGAATTTTGTAGTTAAGCAGCAGCAGAACATGTCTGGTTTTAGCAGCTTGATCAGTCACTTCGGTATCACTCACAATGCTGCTGCGGTGGTATTTTAAACTTGATTGCACACAGCTTAGCCAAAGAAGTGCGTTATAAGGCTAAAAGCACGTTAAATACCAAACATAAAGTCTCTTGCAATGAGGTAGTGATCTTACTGTATTTCATGTTTCAGTGGGTTTTGTGACAACTCCTTTGTGAATGGAGAGTCTGGTGGGGAACTGACTGGTGTATGCTACAATGGCCTCTGCTGAAAGGGGGCCACTGACGTGCGGCTGGAGAATCCTTCAGCTGCGCTGAGCTGGAAATGGACCTGGAGATTCAGATACTGGTAACAAAAGTCAAGGGTTCAGAGAAAATCTCAGCAATGGAATGCTTTTACCTAGCACATGGAAATACAGCCTTTGAGGAAAAAAAAAATAATTGTGTTGACATAAAACCAGGTTATTTTATGAAGCTTGTGTTAGGTATGTTTTTCTTTTTTTTTCTTTTTTCTTTCTTTTTTTTTTTTTGGTGGAGGATGAAATACCATTCAAAAGTTTTCCTTTTACTGTATATTTTTGATCAAAGTTTCCAGATCTGACCAAAAAATATCATACGAAGCAATAGCATCTAAAAAAATGCCCTTGAAACTTTTGTAATCTTGTGTTCAACCTTTCATCTGGACTGAGTGTTTTAATGCCTTCATATCTGGCCAAACCTTTCACTTCGTTTTCAGATTTGTTTTTATTTGTTTATTTATTTATTTATTTATTTATTTATTTATTGTTTGGTTGTGGTTTTTTTTGTTTTGTTTCGTTTTTTTTGGGGGGGGTTGTTTTTTATTTCGCCTCTCTATATTCATGTTCTCCCTTCAGTTCTGTCCCAGCAAATATCTGTCACTTCTCCAGAGAAGTGTTAACTCTGAACAGAAATTTAAGTGTGGCTTTTCCCACAGGTAAAATACTTACTGCTCACTAATGCAAACTGGAGATCGTGCTTCCCCTGTGCCCTGTGCAAAGCTGTTTGCTGCCCATGGCTTTGACCATTTTGCTGCCCATGGCTTTGACCATTTTGCTCTGATTTTGTAGTGGAATTTGAAAAAGAAAAAAGAAAAAAAAAATCTGAAGGTAGAAGAAAGAAAATAACCATTTATAACTTTTTGGTTTGGGTTTGTGTTGTGTTTTGCTTTTTTTTTGTTGTTTTTTTGCTTTTTTTTTTTTCTTCAAGGTTGCTCCTGGTGAAAAGGTCACAGCAGAAATACAGGAGAAAAGTGTCCAGAGATCACAAGCACAAGCTGCTTTCAAAGCAACTTTTCCAGGCAAAAAGATTAAACATAATTGAAGCAAACTTCAACTTCTTTTCTTTTGCCTGAAAGTCCATGTACAATTTCAGGTGGTCTAGCCAGCAGCTGCTCGGCCTTGAGAAGGACGGCAGGAGACACAAGCCTTTAAAGCAGGCCATGCCTTTGCCCAGCAGTTTTCTGCGGCTGCCGGTGCTCCTTATGGCCTCAGGCTCCTCGCCATGTGGTTGTAGTGATGCAGCTTCAAGGGTTGTTGAAGCCCAGCCTTGCTCCCAGGCTCTCTTGGCCTGGTATTTCTTAATCCCATTTTAATAAAGTCCCCAGGAAGCCCATCCATCAGCCATGTTTAACACCACAGCCCCTAGCAGGATCATGCTCCCACAAAGTATTCCCTTGTGAAGGTCCTTTCAAGCTGTCTCCCCCTTGTCTCATTGCTGTTCAGAGAGAAGTTCCTCAGGTCTTCCACATCACAAGGAGGCAGGAGGACCTGTATTCCCCTACGTCCTTGCCTCGGGGCCTAATCACAGCCCCCAGCCCGCAGTGCTGGGTTTCAGATTCACCACCATGATGTGAAACGCAGTGTGGCCAGCTCCTAACAGGCAGCTTTTGCAGCCCCTCCTGTTGTGTGTGATACAGATCTCTTCTCTTTCCTTGCATAGTGCACAAGCATGGCTATCAGAGGCCACCAAAATAATGTAGACCTGCTTTTTTTTTTTTCTGTACCTCAATGTAAAACAAGATGGGGCCTGTCTAGGAGCAGAAAGCCTAGGCCAAACTGATCGACATGTCCTGAGAGAAACCTGTGGTGTGTTTTGTTGAAAAGAACCAGCAGGAAGGCAGAGAAAACATGGGTTTGGGGTTACTGCTGGGTCACTTTTACTAGTTATGCAGAAAGCCTGGGGGGGGGGGGGGAGGGAAGGGAAGGGGGTTGGATTGGATTGTAGCATGGCATGAATAAAGAAGCCAGGCCTATGTGGCTCGCTAGTGAAAATAAATTTGGAATTGTGTTAAATCCAATAAGCAGATATATGAAACCTGGAATAGAATCATCTCACTGTAAGAGTTATGTGCAAATGAAATGATGGCAGAGAGAGGGTACTTCAAATACAACATCAGGAGACATGGTTATAACGTCCCCCTTCCCACAGCACGGCCCGGGCCTGCAGAGCTGTTGCACTCCTGCCAGGGTGGGCTTTGCTGTTGATTTAAGTGAAAGCTGCCCTTCCCTTTGCACCCGCTGAGACATGCTTGATTATTTGGTCAGCCTTTTCTTTTTTTGAAATTGAGGCTTATGTGTTTTTACCAGTTGAGAGAGAACGCAGTCAGAAGCACACTTCAGAGATATAAACCCACCAACGAGAAAGAAAACTCATTTAGCATGGCAAGCAGCTGTTATAAGTAGGACTACTAAGATCAAATCAAGGATAGGAAGTTTTCGGTTTGAGTATCCGACTGGTGTGATTTAATAGGCTGGAGAAAAAGCGGCCATGGGCACATGGGTGCATGGCACTGAGTACGGTGCAGGCACAGCCTAGGATCCTGCCATACTCTGATGGTACAGATTATAAATGATATTCCTCTCCTTGCTTCATTTGATGTACAGAAAAAAGAGAGATCAGTAACAAACCTAAAAACAGAGCGGATGCTAAGGGTGGCTCACAACATGAGCCATTTGTATTGCTGCATCAGAAAGAGCCAATTAAACCACGGTTTAAGAGCACAAGCTCTCTGCACAGCACTGTAATACTGGTTATCTGCCTCAGTGATTTCCAAAGCAATCACAGGCTTCTGGTGATTGCCAAAGAATTTTTCTTGCTTGAAAGTCAGACTTCTGCTAATCCGTCAGTGACTCCTGTGGCACAATGATTGAAGTGATCAGATCAGGTCTGGGCCTTCCTCCATTCATCTTCCAGCAGAACAGGAGCGGGCATGGAGCTGTGGAGTGAGCAGGGACAATGTTTTGGCTTGTTTATTTGCGTCTCAACACCTTTGGGTATGGTGGACATCTTATGCTGAGCTGGGAGCCCAATAGCTGGGCTGCTCACAGGGTGAAGGGGTTTCTCCGTGAGCTGTTAGATCCAAACTGGCTTCTCCATTGGAGACCACAGGAAAATGACCTACAAATTCACTCAACTGGGTAGTGTGAAAAGTGTTTCTGCCAAATCGTACCATAGCTCCTTGTTGCACTTACAAGTGAAGAATCATTTTTACATGTCTCTACTATCATTACAGTGAGAATCCACAGAGAAATAAATGCAGAGTTACTGCATGCTTGGACAGACAAGCAGGCACTCTGTTTTTTGTGCCACTGACCAAGGCAGGCACCACTGTGAGAGGTTAGAAAAGCAAGGGGCA